AAGAAAAGGAAGCTAAAGAAAGGGAATGCAATATTTGTCATGATGAAGTTAATGTGGAATATGGGAGTTACTGTTGTTCAAAGTGCAACTATTTTGCTCATGTAAATTGCGCAATTGATGAAGATCTTTTGGAAGAAGAAGAAGAAGAAGAAGAGTCTAAACTATCAGCATCAGATGACTCGACTGGTGATGTTTCTTGTGCTTTTACGGTAATCAAACCCGGAAAGATAAAACATTTTGCCCACGAACACAACTTAATATTCAATGATCGTGGGGTTAAGGATGGCCAAAGTTGTGAAGGCTGCTTGCGTCCCATCGCTACTTCATTTTATTATTGTGAGGACTGTGACTTCTTTATCCACGAGGGCTGTGCTAAGTTATTGAAGAAGGTACGTCACTGGGCCAGCAAGCATTCAATGGAACTCTTTTTCTATCTCTTTTTTGAATGTTCCTATTGCTGGTTTTGGAATAGTGGGTTTGGCTACAAATGTGATAAATCTAACAGGACAATGTGCATTCGGTGTCATGAAATTCCGGACACCTGTACTGTTGAAAGACATGAGCACCCCCTTTTCTTTGACCACAAATACGGGGGGACTTGTTGTGGTTGTGGTATTGAATTTATGCGTGGTCTTAATTATATGGGTGGTTTTAGATGCAAGGACAAGAAATGCAAATTTGCCATAGATTACAGGTGCCTTGTGTCGCCTAACACAGCCCAGTATAAATATGATAACCATCCTCTCAGGCTTACTTTCAGTGATGATCATCATTGGAGCCAACGTTATTGTGACATATGTGAAGGAGACAGAGACCCGAATCATTGGTTTTATCATTGTGCTGGTTGTGATGCTTCGGCTCATCCTAATTGCGCGCATCGGGGATCTCCGTATGTCAAGCTCGGTAAACCATTCAGGTTTGGTCTTCATTATCAACATCCTGTCACTTTTGTGAAGATAGATTTCAATCCTCCTAAATGCAACCAGTGTGATGAGCCTTGTAGGGATGAGCTAGCCATTCAATGCACAGAGTCAGATTGCAACTACGTAGTCCACCAGAAATGTTTATACTTTTGGGATCTCCTACATTCAGATCTCTAAGGAGGTGAGACTGGTATATTGTTGTCATGATATTAATAGGATATCTCCTTTTCAGTTCTTTCTTTTTTAACTAATTTTGAGTATGTCGTTTCTATTTGGGGATGTGTTTGGACTAGTGTCTAGTACATATATTTGTTGAAGGTAAATATTGGATATGACTATTTGTTGAAGTTTAAATGTAACGATTTAGTTGTCTGGGTGTTTGTGTTATGAACACAAAAAATGGATATTTCCTTCTTTTCCTTTTTGATGTTTGATCTTCTTTTTTTTTTTTTTTCCTTCCCATATATTCTATTCTTTATTTTTTTTTATCTTGATGAGTTCAAGATCTAGTTGCTTAACAATATAAATAATTGAACCCTTTGCCTTGATTCCAATTCAAGCTCTTGATGGTATTGTATGCTTTATTATGTTTCATGTATTTTATAATTGAATACTGTGGATGATTATTCTACCTTAGGGGAGATATTTTCGTGACTTGACACCTTGTCTAATAACGTTGAGAAACTTATTTGTTAAATCAACATGAATAGATGCTAAAAAATTACGGGGAAAATCATGTTTTTTTTTTTTTTTTTTGAAAATAAAAATGGAATTCCCTCATTTCAAACAATCATGTAAGCTAAGGCAAGAAGCTAAAAATATATAAAATGCACATTATAAATGAAAATGAAATCAGCGTCAAGAGCTGATTCCTTCCACTCCAAATGTTGAAGCTCATTCCAGAATCAAAAGTGAATTGCTATCCCTTCCGACCAATGTGCCACCGAAGTCTGAGCATGCACAGAACCATGTCTGGATTTGCACAACCGAGAAGCATCCACGGCATTAAGGTATCTCCCTATGCTCTTGGCTCCAGTTACTCCAGCTAACACATTCTCTCGACTCCTTTAGCTACCTTGACTCACACGTTCTTGACTTCCCCAGCTACTCTGGGTTTGATTAAAGAAACCAGAGCTGTAGTCTTGATTACTGAATGCCAATCTTTAAAACACTCTTGAGTTGTGCGGATTGCTGTGCTGAATCAAAGACCTCACTCTGGCCAGGTTTCATTCCATTTGTGAGATCTGATAACTCATCCAAGGAGTCTAGAGCTCTCGCCACCTAAGATGATTGTGGGGGGAAAATCATCAGGCCTGATGAGTAATCAAGAAAGCTCTACGTTACTTGAGCATAATTACCTGACTCATTCGTGGCCTTCTAGCAGCTGAATGTCGCACACAGGCTGCAGCTGCCTTGATCATTCGAAACATTTCTGAAACCACATAATTCTTTTCCAACCTCGGATCTACCAACTCCCCAAATTCTTCACGTTCAAGTGCTTGAGTAAGCAAGGTCGAGCCTGAGGAAAAAGTTCGAATCACATCAAAATTGCAGTTTTGGAACAGCGTAACTAATATTATACTCTGATACTTGAAAGTCAACTAGCAGAAGATGTCTACAAGGAATAGCACAAGCTTGAAATTCGTTGAACTGACCCATTCAACCAGGCTCTCATCACCCAGAAGTTGAGAATCATCAACGGGCTTGTGCCCCGTTATTAGCTCTAGAAGAACAACCCCAAAGGAGTAAACATCGGATTTTTCAGTTAATTTGCCACTTGTTCCATACTCTGGAGCCATGTATCTGGAAATGATAATTCCAATTATCAAAGCATTAGAAGTGCCAAAAGAAAGGCAAATGGAGTAGGATTAATAGCATGGAACATGTCACAGGAACATAAAAGGCACATGACTGGAATCCACTAGTTTCTTCTATACAAAAATATTCATCATGCAACCACATTAAAACTTGATTGTTACACGATATAGGAATTAAAAAATAAAACAAGCAGGTATAATCAACCAACCCAAAGGTTCCCATCACACGTGTTGATACATGTGTATGCGAATCCAGCTCCAAAGCTAACTTGGCAAGTCCAAAATCTGATACCTGTTCATAGAAAAATGAACTACAGGATAAAGATAACCCAAGACAATCTTATAAAGCTTCCAGACAAATAACTGTAAATGTTGATCATTCTACAAATATACTACTAACACAATCTTTTATTTAACAAAACTGATAGGCGATTTCATCAGGCCAAAATCATTAGCAGATGTAGCATTATACCCAAACTCAGGTCAAATCAAATCAAAATATTGATCTTTGCGAAAGTTTAGGTTTCAAAGACAAGCATACCCGAGCCTCAAAATTGTTGTCTAGAAGAATATTTGATGACTTGATATCCCTATGAATAATGCAGGGATGGCCTGATCAAGCAACAAAAGAAGTTTCTTCAGATGTTATAATGAAAATGGCATGTGGAAGATGAAGAGAAACGTTATAAATCAAGATGTATATCATCACTTTTATGTGCCAATGACACTGAACTATAAGTGTAAACCTGCATGGTGCAAAAGTTCCAATTACACTATTCAGGTGACTCAAGAAGTTTTGCAACTGATGCCAATCATAACAGTCATTAAACATGTAGGTCTTTACAACTACAATGACATGTGTGCCAAGAAAAGTAAAAGATAAGTTGTAACTAGATTAGAGAAAGAAATAAACAGAAAAGAAGAAGAAAATTACAATCTTCATGGAGGTAAGCTATCCCACGAGCTGCACCAACAGCAACCTTGACTTGAGTAGCCCAACCCATGACTGGCCTGCTTTTACCTGTCAATTTCCACAATAATACAGGAAATTACAACAAAACCATCCTTACAAGAGTGCTATTTATTTCCTGGCCAAAAAGAGAGTTTTTATTGCAATAATGTTTCTATTGTCACTTTCCTTTGTTTTCTCTGGGCATTTTTCTGTGTCCACTTTTTTCTTGAAAGATTTCTAATGGTAACCTAGTTCAGATTGTATCCATTATGTCAGATGCAGCACAAAAAGACACTCTCCGTACAGAGGAAAAAAAATTTGAGTCTAAGATCTTTACTTCTTCTCAGCTCAGAAGAATGGCTTACCATGGACATGGTAATGAAGGGTATTGTTAGGCAGGTAGTCATAGACAAGCAATCTTTGGTGGTTTGATATACAGTAACCCACCAGTGAAACCAAATGGTGATGATGTACACGGCTAATGATCTCCACTTCTGCTCTGAACTCACGCTCTCCCTGTCCACCTCCAATCTTTAGCTGCTTTACAGCCACTTCTCTTCCATCTGTGAGGCCACCTTTGTATACACAACCAAATCCACCTTCACCCAAAAGATTCTGTTCTGAGAACCTATTTGTAGCCTGGACCAGTTCATTATATGTGAACCATGACTTCGAATTATTTATCCCACCAGACTCTGATATGAAATTACTTTGTGAATTACTTCCTACAAGAGGGGCAGAAGACTAAAGCTGACGAGTGCTGATTCTGTAGAGCAATCAAAGTTACATTGATGTTAAATTGTTGCTCATACAAAAACATTCAGTTACAGGTACAGCCTGAAATCTACACAAGAAGCACAGAGCAATACTTCTTAGTTATCTAATGTGTAACGTAAGACCATTTTTAGGAAAAGTTCAAATTTGCAGTGTTAATATTAGAAAGTTCATAGATACCAATTGCGTGGAGTACTGGGGTTGCTTTATAATTAGAAATAAAAATTGATCATTGATGAAGGATGTGACCTAGTAGTATGAAGCTCACTCCTAACTGGCTTGGTGAGTAGGATAGCAATACTATAGACAATTAGAATGAACCACAATGAGCAAAAAACTTTCATCTATTTCCTAAGCCACCAGATGTGTAAAACTAAACCTCAGATGTGATAGGATCAAGTAAGTGCTCAACTTCCTTAAAAAAGTGCCTGTCACAACCGGCTTTTTTTTAAAGGTACTAGGTCTATGGGTTACATGCCTATGCCTAACACTATGTCTAGATGATGTAAGATTGTCACAACTCAGCCTAGATGGAACATGCCACATCATGCATGTGAGGTACCAGGATACAAATAAGATCTTCGAATATGCCCTAGTATATCATGTTAATGTAATAATCAGAATACATGGCATCATTAATACACTAAAAGACAAATTATCAACTTGTTTATGGTAATTGACAAATCTCCTTATCAGTCAATGCTTCAACAGTTTCCCAATTCCTACTAAAAAAAAAAACCCCAGTAGAAAAATTTATATGCTTCCTGCCATGTAAAGTTTAAGAATTGCTGATGCGAATTTTGAAAATTTTAACCATGAAATGAGTCCCTACTGAGGAATGTATGCAGCTTCTGTAGCTTTTCACTATGTTACAAATGCATTGCCTACAGTATTGAAATTTAGAAACAACCAATGAGAAAGTTATGGTATGAATAAACATAATGGAATACATTACCTGAATTATGACAGTAGACAAATGGAGAAGGCATTGTATATCCAGTATTTGCCCCAGCACCCCTTCTCTTTCTTTTCTGTGCAAACCACGTGGCCATGACAACAAGACCAAGAACAACAAGTGCAGCTATAATGCCCACTGCAATGGCATTTCCTGTTCTCAAACTACCAGAAGTTGGATTTGCTGATGAAGTGGTGCCATTGGTTGATTTTGCAGTTGGCTTCTCAGTTGGAATAGCAGGCAAAGATGATGAACTGATACTTCCACTTGTTGATGAATTGCGAGGTGCAGCAGGGGCTAAAATTGCAGGAGGTGAAGAGGTTGAAGGAACTGAAGGAGGTGGATATGTCAATGCTGGTGGTGTAGGGGGAGAATTTGTGTTAAGTGGGGGAGCAGACTGAGAAGTAGATGGTATGGGTGTAAGTGAGGAAGGTGGAGGTGAGCTTTCAGGTGATCTCGCCTGTGGTGGAGATTGGACATTGGTTGGAGGAGCTGGGGAAGAGGAAATGACCCGAGGTGGAGGTGGAGTTACAACTGGAGGAGTGAGCCAGGTTCGTGGAGTTAAACCACCTGATGGTGGGCGTGCAGATAAAACTGGAGGAGGAGCGGCCTGAGATGTTGGTGACACAGCTGTAGGTGACGGAGGTGGTGATACAGGCAGCAATTGTGGAGGTGAAGTTGGTGGTTCAGATAAGGGTGGGGAAAGAGGAGGGGCAGCAGAGACAGCTGGAGGAGGGGATTGAGGTAGCGGAGCTGAAGAATTTGATGGGGTCAAAGTGGTCTGATTGATCTAGATGAGATGGGAGGAGGTGAAGTAGTAGAGGAATGTAAAGGGGGTGAGAAAGGATGTGCTGGTGGTGATATTTCAATTGATGAAGGAGAAATCGCAGAAGGCAAGGAAGTCGGAGAGAGTAAAACTGAAGTCATAGTTTCTCTAACTGAGCAGCTCAATCACGTAACTAAATTCCATATCAGAATTTGGAATCAAGAATACCAAAATCCTCCAACTTACCTTAACAATTCCTACACAGCTATCCATACACTTTTGCTAAATGCCAAAATTCAACTTTGAAGCCTGCATCATAGTTCTTTCACTGAAAAGAGAAAACAAAACAGTCCCCAAGCATTGACAAACTCAAACCCAGAAGCCAATCCTCTTCCAGGAAACTAGGCTAAGACAAATCTGACGGAATTTCTTTTCTGGTCAACTGGATTTTATGAACAGCAACAGTCTCAAAAACACAAGACTTGCCACAAATGAGCAAACCTCAGTTCCAAACTTCGGCCAAGGTGCAAACCCAGATCAATAAAATCCATATTTAGAGAAAAGAAAAACAGATCATCATAGTCCAAAGTTGACTCCTATACTTAGTTCTAGTCTCTACACCAAAATTCATACCATACACTACTAATGCCGGGAATGCAGCATTAACCAGACGACCAAAATGTGAAAAAGAGAAAACCCAGAAGCAGAACACTGAATAATTACTCACCTATATCTCAAATTTGAAGAAAGTGCATTCAAGTTGGAATCTTGAAAGTGGAACCGGTTGGTCTTGGTTTTGCAATAAAGCTAGGGGTGATGGAGGAGGTGCAAATGCAATGCCCGTGTAAAAACATAAATTCTGCCAAGAAGGAAACGTGGAGGCAACTTGGGGCTACATCCTTCTCAACATCCCATCACATGGTGCCTGTGGAGAAAAGCTGAGCAGAGCAGACGTTTGTTGGTTTGGTTGTTTTCTTTCACTCTCCTTTTCCTTCTTTTATTTAATTATTTTTATTTTTATTTTCTCGCATTTAATTTTTACTTTTGAGTGACCCCTATCACCCAAATAATTCCTTTTTCTGACAAATTGCACTTGATTCCCATATTGTTTGAGGCCCGTACACTTTGCTCTAACAATTACAGAAACATGTGCATTTAGTTCTCTTAGACGTTAGTACTTTTATTTAGGTTCATAAAACAAGCATGGTACACACTACACACCGTAGAAGGCATCCCTCTTTCTTTTCTTTTTCTTTTTCATTTTTCGTTTCTGGTATAATGAGAAGAAGGGCCAAATTACGTGGCCTCAGCTCTTATTTACTCAACTCAGCCTCTACAAATAAATTCAGTGAACAGTAACTATAAATCAACAGCATTTCTCCAAAGCACTCTATTTTTCATACTGCTTCCAAAGTATAGACAAACCTTCATCTATCCTTCTCCAACTCCTTTCCTTCCCAAAGCCATGGCATTGTCTAGTTTACTAGCTCTCTAGTAAAATCCACGTAAGAGAATAAAACCTTAGTCAAAATTGTGGGTTTATATTTTAATAGATTTTTTTTTAACAATTAAAGGTATTTTCGAGCCAATTTGTACTAATCTCGAGATTGATTCTTTTTTGATTTAGTTAAAAAAAGTTATTCATACTAAAATTACTTTCTCAATAACTTCTTTAAAAAATTAAATCTTAATCAATAAATGAAATCATTCATACTAGAACTACCCTTTTATTAATCTTTTTAAATAATCCAATCTTAATTAATTGATAAGATAAGAAATATATCTCCTTATCACCTAAGTGATTGTTCTTTGGTTGTACTCCTTAGGTCGGTTAGTCCCAAGTAGACATTGCGCTGCTCTAATTGGTTTAATACTGAGATCAACTCGGCCCAACTCTAGTTTGAGGCTTCGAGTTTGGGCCGACACAATTGGGTTCGAAAACAAATGGCCGTCCCATCCCAAGCTGTCGCAATAAGTATCTCGCCGGCCTGCCTGACCCTTCTTCACCTCTCGTAAAATGGCCGGTCCGTTGGCATGGACGGCGAGTAAAGTCGGAGGCCTTGGTAATGGTGGCAATGAGAGTAAGATGACCGGAGAATCCCAGTCGTGTTCACCCCCAGAGGCCAGAGCAGCAAAAGTAAGCATGCGATCTCTTCTTCTGACTTAGTCATGCAAAATATGATCAAAGCATTTTTTTTTTTAATTCCATATTTCTCTTCCTCATTTTTGTTGGGAATGCGGTGATCAGATCAACCTTCTTATTCTTCTTCCTAATTAAAGTAAGTCAGATCTTTTTGTCTTTTGGGATGTTGGATAATGGGAAAAATGAAAATGGTTT